TTGAAATTAATTTCTCATTCTTAATTGATATGATTAATTATTTAAGAATCGCTAAACAACTTAATGTTTGCTTTGTTAATTGATTTTAAGGGTTGGATATGTGTTATTGTTTGAAAAATAACAACCTTTTCCAGATGACATTTTTATTTATTAACATTTTTGATTTGTTAAGTTTTGCTGCATAATTCACACCCAATTTCCCTCATCAGTGATAAGGGAAATAATTTTGTGAAAATATTTTTCCACAAGATTAGGAAGCTGGATGGATTATTTAAATAGATCATATAAATTAACACATTACAGATGTTGGTACATTGATAGTATATTACTTCAACTGCAAATATTTAATTATCCTTTTCATAAATTTATACAATGTTGTACACAGTTTTTGTTGGTAAATTAAAAGTTATTTTTGTCCATACTGAACAATTTGAGAAACAGTCTCCATACTTTTACTAGTGAAAAAGTTTGTATTAGAGCAAAAGTAGCCATTCTGTCAGTTCAGAATATTTGAGAAAAATTTCTAATATTTCAAGAACACTTTCATTGCCATATCTTATGAGTTATGATACAGGTGAAATTATCACTATTTTTACAAACTCATCAAAGTAAGCTAAGAAATAGAGAAATAATTCATGTAATTAGCTTCAAATTTTTATTATTAAATCAGCATTTATTAAAAATTAAACTGCATTGTGCTAGAATTGAATAATTTTGTTATTCAAATGGTTCAGCTGTACCTCATTATTTCAAATTTAATGTTTGGCATAAAAAATCTCTGGTCTTTTCATGCCTTGTAAAATTGCAGTTAGTATTGAGCAATAAAAAACATAAATGCATCTCAAGGAATCAGATATTCTTAATTTAGATAAATATGTTTAACTTTTGCATCTTATTATTTTTTATTTGATTTGTAATCATCTTTTAAATTTTTTGTATGTATTTTTGCCTCAATATTGTTCATACTTTTAATTTGCATTTCTATTAGTCGTGTCTTGTCTAACTAATTGATAGTATGTCCATCTTTGTCCATGTGATATCTGTTCATGTCCATTTTTCTCCTTTTTTTGTCACCATAAGTATGTCTTACTAATTAGTGTGTTCTTATCATCAATTTTTAGATTTCATCATTTTTGTCATTCCTTATAGTAGTTCTTTTTCATTTTTTATGTCCTTGAGAGTTTTTCAAATGTGTCAATATTTTAATTGTCTAGTTCATTCTGGTATGTTAGTTGCTAGTGGTCATCTGTCCATTCATTTTTATCTCTGTTCCCTTGTCAGTTTGTCTTTTGTATTTCTGTAGGTGATTGTCAGTGAGTCAGTCGCGTTTCGGTTTATAAGTAAGTGTATTTTCTTCACCTATCCTTTAGTTATGTAGTATTTATTATCATAATATCAGTATTTCATTAACTTCATAGTTTGATGTCAGTTCGAATGAAGTCCAGTTTGATGTCATGAATTAGTAGAACCAATTTTTGTCTGATCCTCCTTATTAGTATGTTTAACTGTAAAATTATTTCACAATTTGTGGTCATTATCTTAACTACACTTTGTATGTAGTGCATCTCTTCTGATTGTCCCATTCTTATAGTAATTTGCGTTAAATGTCTGTCCCCTAAATCTACACATCCATTGTTTAGGTCATAGTAAATTTGCTTCTGTCTGTGTCTGCTTCTGTCTGTGTCTGTCTGTCTGAGGAAAACTTCAGAAAAAAGCCTGAAAATGGACAGAAATATGGTCCAAGTCTAATACTACAAAGTGATTTTCAAGTCAGTGTCTTTTGTTTTTCCTAGTCTATTAGCATCAATCTGTTCATTGTCTAATTTCATTTGCCTTTAAATCTTTAAGTTTTGTTTTAGTCTTGGAGAAGTTGAAGTTTGATATTTTCTGTTAGATTATAGTTTATATTAGATTCTGTCTGCCACTTGTGTAGCCATGATGTTCTTTTTTTCTGAATATTTTTTAATCTGTTTGATTGTTTGTTTGTCTGTCAGTTCATTGTCATTCATTCTTTAATATCTTGAAAATATCAGAAACTTGTGTCAAGTATTTTAATGTCCAAAATTCAAAAGTCTGTCATTGTCTTCATTATTTACATCATTGTCTGTATTACTCAAGTCGTTTAAAAGAAAAAAAATTGGTGGGGGTGAATAAAATATATTTTTATGAATAATTTTTTTTTTTATTTGAGATTTCACCATTGTCTAGCCTCTTAGTCAGTTACATTTAAATTTTACTACTTGTCTCACTAGTCAGTTCATCGAAGTCTGTTATATTGTCCCTCTATTTATCTATGAATGTTTTTCATATCAGTCAACTTGTCCTATTTGTCATTCATCTATTTGCAATTAATTGATGTATGAATAGCAAAAAAAAAAATAATATGAGTTTCAAAGAAGTAATCGATTTTGTCTCAAAATATTTCTAATGTTATTTCCCTATTAGTGGGCATTTTTTATTGGGATTTTGTAATGACTGGATTCATTCTCTGCACTTAACTATTTTCTTCTCAAATATATTAGAGTATATAAGAGACACTAAATGACTGACACAAATATGTTGATAATTTGTTGATAGAAGTTCTCTTAATAGTTCTTTGTCAATTGTCTGTTGTTTGTCATTTTAGTTAGGTTTCAATTTACTACTGCTTATTCTGTCAATTTGGCTAGTTCTCTGTTATTTACCTGATTATTGCTGGTCAGGGTAAGTCCGACTGTCTTCATGAGTCTTTAGTCTTGCTAAGGAATTGTCATTGTTCACATTTGTGAACTTCAACGTCTTTAAGTAAATCAAGTCTTTTTTACTATAGTAATTTATATAGTAGTTTTTATAGTAATTACTACAGTAACTATTACAGTATCTTTTTTGTGTGTCGAAGGCACTGTAGGTATATTTTCATCTTTGTTAGCCTGTTAATAATGTCTTTTCAAGTCACCTTCGTCCTCTCCTGTATTTAGTCACAATTTTTACTTAAGTACATATTTATCAGAAAGTCTAATCATTGTTTGTCTTCAAAGTGTTTTTTCTACAGATTGAAATCTACTTGTAAGTCAACCTTCTTTATTTAGATTTTTATCCTTCCTTATCTTTACTAAGCTTCTTTATTTAGTTTGTGATGATTAACTCAAACTGTTGATTGGCTATATTTACAATTTGGAATGATGCTCAGTTATTTGTGAGTCAAGTAGTCTGTTTCCATTTGATGCTTCTGTCAGGAAGTGTGTCAGTTATTAAGTCATGGTATGTAGTTTTTCTTTCATCAGTCCAGTTTACATAAGTCTAGCTAAGTTCTAAGTAATGGTAATTTCATTTTTTAAATATATTGATTTGGTTGACAATGTAGTTTTATTTACCCTTCTCTTGGCATTCATATGTCTGTTATCAGTCTTCCTACACAGTAATATTTATGTCATTTTATTAGATCTAAAGCTATTTTTCTTAAATTTTATAAGAATATATTAATTAGTTTGAATTTCATTTTATTTATATCCTTGTCTATTAATTCACATAATT